TTCAACGTCGTTCCTATTAATCAGGCTAAACAATAGTGCAGCATGATTATCATGAAATCTGGGAAGATGTAAAAGTAATCAAAGTGAATTAGAATTGATGAAGACTCCATGATTTTGTCTGATTGCTAGAAGTGATAAAATTTTGCTTCTTAAATCAAAAAGTCGAGCAGCAAAACAAGCAGGCTTCCTCATGCTCTACCTTCTCCATTGATCTGGGGGGTCCGAATGCAGTTGGCTGTGTTTTTAGCATCCAAGCACAAAATATATCCATTTATCCTTTTTAGTAGCCATATGCAATTTTAAGCTCTGATTTCAATAAGTGTGAATGTCATTAAAGGTATGGCAAAGGAAGTTTCTGAATTTCAGGAAAGAACTGCCCTCTCCACGTTTTGAAAAAACTGTGCAGGAGAGAGAACGCCCAGTTATCCTCGTGCACACTCTGTTTACAAGTAGCTGCCGGCCTTGCAGCTAACTTCTTCTAGCAGTGATCTGAAATAAATTTCTCCAATAGCAAGTCGAACTTTAGCTCACCTGTCGAGCAGAAATCCAACGACAGAGGTGTCTGTGGGGAGCCCAACCTTCGCTTTGCACAGGAAAGAGCACGTATGACGACGGCCTTGTGTGAGTGGTTCACCAGAACGATTGACCGTTTTGGTTCAGGTGATCCACCCGGAAGAAAAAGATCTTCCGCTACACCTTAAATTCATTGTCATTCTCTAAAAACAAGTTAAATCATTTTAAATGTCTAAATTCAATCTAAATGTGTCATTTCATGCATGTTTGTTTTGTTACAGTTGAGACCAACGTACTAGGTGTAAAGTAAAATGATAATGAGATAAAATAAACTAATGATTCCAAATATTTGTGTTTAATGTCAGCATTCATACTGGGATTGCTCATGCTAGTTTACATCTTGAGGGCTCTTTAAACTGACCTAAAGGGAACATCCAAATGACGTTCTTTGTGCCACAGGTAATTAATTAGTCTGTACGGGATATTTGTAAGAGAGATTTGTACAAATCTCAACAGTTTTGGCTTCTCAGCTGAAGCCCTCTTCATGGGATGTCGTCAGGTAGAAGGTAAATTACCTGTGTTTGATAAAGCGCCCTCTAGAGTCCTGGAACCCTCCAAGGCGCTTTACAACACAACCAATCATTCACTCATTCACACACATTCACACCCCGGTGGTGATGAGCTACATTGTAGCCACAGCTGACTTGGAGAACACTGACAGAGGCGACCTGTCGTACACAGGCGCCACCGGTCCCTCCAAACACCGCCAGCGGGCAAACAGCAGGTGGATTGCTGACGTGGCCTAAATCTGGTATTCTCGGAGCTCGTCAGGTGGGAGTGGCGTGTGGAGATGTCTTGTCCACGGGGACTCCCACATGCGCTTGATGGTGTGTGCTGCTGAGGATCAACAGAAACAACACCAAAAAAGATAGTGAGCACACCGTACATACAAGGAATAACAGACCTCCTCAGAAGATCCCTCCAAAAACGTCATAAAACCACAGAAAAACTAAAATAACTGCTAGTGCGGCCAACGGACCAACCAAACCCCAACCAACAATGCAACCTAATCTATAAAATACCCTGCCTGTCGTGTAACAAATATTACTATGGAGAGACAAGACAACAGCTGCACATCAGAGCAAACGAACACCACACGGAGTGCGAAAGAGAAAAAACTAGACTAAAAAGACATAAAAAGAACGTGGCTGACAGCAGAACCGTGAATCCGCCATAACGGACCACTGCAGACAAAATAATCATGTAATGGACTGGAACATCATACCGCTGCATAAGATGGATGCAGGAGACATGACAGATCAACCATCAACAGGGACAAAGGAGCATACGGACTCGAGAACCTGCAACACGCTCCTCAGCCCGCATGTGGGAGTTCCCGTGGAGACGACATACCCACATGCCACTCCCACATGACGCGCTCCAGGAATACCAGATCTAGGCCACGTCAGCAATCCACCTGATGACATCCCATGAAGAAGGCTTCAGCCGAGAAGCCGAAACTGTTGGCAGGTAAATGAGATTTATACTAATTTCTCTCAGTAATATCCCGTCTGACCTAAAGGGAAGCTTATTGTGTTTTATGTTTGTGTCATCCGTTTTTCATCAGTCTGTGAAGCACCTTGGTGTCATATCCTATGTCTGTAAGGAGCTGTACAAATAAAGATTGGGTTGAGTTATTCTCCTCAGTGCACCTGAAAGATGCTAGGTTGTGTCATCTAAAGTTAGCTAAAGGAAGAAGAGACCAATTTTTGTTTCCTTGTACCCGACATGATTTAACTATCAGAAATCAGGTTCATTTATAGGCCAAGGCCTCCTAAATGGCTGACGCTGCTGACTAATCTGCATTAGTCAGCAGCGTCAGACAACACACTGACGTCAGAGGTTGTCATTCAGATGTTGGGCTCAACTGGCTGTGAGTTCAGCTTTTAGAAGCACTCACTGTTGGGTCCGTCTGATGCAAACTGCTGCTAAAACAGAAAGCAGAACAAAAGCTAATGTGCTCGTGTGCTCTCATGGTTTCATCATCTCTGCTGCAGGTCAAAATGGTTCTGGAGAAACTTTATGAAAACAAGAAGATTGCCAGCGCCACTCATAACATGTATGCCTACAGGTTAGTGATCATTTTCATATACCGAGCAGCAGTCTCATCCTCACCCTGACCAGTTATTTCTTTAACATTTATCTGCTGTGTTTTACTTTAATTTCCATACTCTCATCATTACATGGATGTTGTGCTCTATTTGGGAAAGCTTTGCACACTGTGTGACAGACTTGCAAATCTTAAACGGATGTGAATAAAACACACACGAAGAGCTGTTATTATAAATAATAAAATAACGTTGGTGAAGCTCTGATGAAGGCGACAGTGAGACGCCGGAACTGTCAGCAAAATTAGGTAAAAACCTAAACTTTGCTATGCTGTGTATAAGATAAGAACAAGAAAACAATGAAACTAGAAAAGAAACAGAAAGAACATAACAAGGTAAGTAAATAACATTGAAATAATAAAAAATCCAGTTGTAGCTACACACTAAAGACGTTGCTAAAATAGCAGCAGTACTTCTCTGATGTACACCGTTTGATTATCACCCAGAGCTAAAAGGCAAAATGTATTTGCTCATCTTAGTGTTTGTTTAAAATAAACCATAAACAACCAGGTGGATTTCAATGTAAAGTTCGGAAAGTTATCATCACACACACACACACACACACACACACTAGTGGTGTGCATCTCTACCTGCCTCACGATTCGATCCGATTCCGATTATCTGCCTAACGATTCGATTTGAGTCTGAAATGCATCACGATTCTTCACACAAAAATGTTCATTACTTAATAAAAGCAGTAGAATAGTGTTCAATTTCTTTTTGATTTCAAAATCCCTGAAAAACAGAACATTCATCTATTCACTATAGTGAGCAATAATGTTTAAAGTGTGCTGCCTGTAATTACTTAAATAATATAAGAAATAATGTTTTCGGTAGAGCAGCTTTAAGATAGAATATTACTGAACTTAAACATAGTAAACAAATACTGTGTTAAGTGATTCTTTCACATCCAGGATCCCAAAACCCAAATTAGCCCAGACATCCGATTTAAATGTAACGGGTACATCTTTGATTACTGGTAATGTTGGCCCTGTATCCCTGTCCGCCTTTTCTGGTTTAAACTGTTGCTAGGGCAACGCAGCGCGCATGTCATTGCAACTCTGCCCCCAGAAGTAATTATAAAACCTCAAAACTTTATTGTCCTGCATAGACATAGACCAGGGGTCGGCAACCTGTTCCCATCAAAGAGCCATTATTACCCGTTTCCCACAGTAAAGAAAACACCGCAGCAGCTGCGGCGTTGTGGGCGGGGCCTACCCTCAGACAGCAGCCGGTACCGGTCGCTCGTGTACGTCAAAGTTATCTTTCATAAGAAGATAATCAATAAAAGGATTTATATAAAGTGGATCCAGAAGTTGTAGCCCGTCTCTGCCGACAATATTTAGATATTTTTCACCCTGTTGGTGGTTTTACTGAGCAGGTGTTTACAAAGTGAAACTTACGGCACATGTTTACTTTCATTTTCAATATAGTTGCCAGCCAGAGCTCGGCAGTAACTCCATTTTTAATTCTACTCCATTTGGCAAAATGCAGCAGCATTTTGTAAAGATCCTAAGCCCGTTACAGGAGCAACCCAGAAGTTATTTCTTGCACCCCAATGAAACCACAACTTTTACTCTAATGTCAGGTAAAGAAGGCTAGAGCCTAAAGTTGAGCTAACAGCGCTAACAGTGAATTTTGAAATAAATAGTCGGCTCTAAATATATCTCAAGCTACTTTTTCAATTACCAGCAACTCCATATTAAAGTGAAATTTATTTATCTATTTATCAACTTAGTGTGTATAACTCATCTTCACTCGTCATCTAGAATCTTCTGGTGCGTATCCATAACTGGCAACAGCTATGAAATTCACATTACAGGATTGAGAAAGTCACTCACGTCTTCTAAAAATGGACTGCAGACTGCAGTAAACAAATTTGATCACAGGATGTCCTTCTTACTTCATTTTTACAAAATGCACCTTTACATGACTGATAAAGAATTAAATGTATTAACCGTTTTCATTGGATAAAACTGCAGCCTAACTTTTCTTCTAAATGTTTGCTGCCTAAAGGGAAGGAATTAATTTACAGCTGATTAACTCTTGGCACCTACTCCCTTCAAGATGGCCACCGCAGCTAAACAACCTTAACAAACGCAAAACGTCTTGGTTTAAAACTCTGGCATGAAAGGTAGGAGTTGATTTGCATTCAGAGAGTTATACCATTTTAATATGTCATGCATTATTCAACATGGTTGTAAAGTCATTCTAGGTTCAACATTGCAAACTAAAGACTAACTAACTAACTAACTAAAGACTAACTTGAACGCGTTTCTGCACCTTGCTGACTAGATTCCATCTCCCAAGCTACAGCCCTGCTGCTGCTGGGGCGACGGTGGCACAGGAGTTAAGAGCTCGCCCCGTAATCGGAAGGTTGCAGGTTCGAGCCTCGCTCAGTCTGTCGCTGTCGTTGTGTCCTTGGGCAAGACACTTAACCCACCTTGCCTGCTGGTGGTGTTCGGAGGGACCGGTGACACCTGTGTACGGCAGACTTGCCTCTGCCATTGTGCCCCAAGGCAGCTGTGGCTACATTGTAGCTCATCACCACCAGGGTGTGAATGGGTGAATGACTGATTGTGTTGTAAAGCACCTTGGGGGGGTTCTAGGACTCTAGAAGGCACTAAATCAGATACAGGCCATTTACCATTTGGCTCTAAATCTGCATCTATACAACTCATCTGTGGCCTTATTGGCTGAAGTCTCCACCACTAAACAAAACATGTCATTTATAATCTCAGACTAGCCAGTGTTTAATCTCTCTATGGTGACCTCCCACAAAGGGAAGCAACATTCAGATTTCCCTTTCTGATAACTCTTTAAGTACAAAGGCATATACCGAGTACTACTTTTTGTATTTCTAAGATGAAGTAGGAACAGTTTTGTTCCAACGTTGCTTTATTGTGACAAGTTTGTTGATTAGTGTTTGTTGTTAGCCTCAAGGGCAACCTGCTGGCTTCATTATCACTTGTACGTCACTTTGGACAAAAGCTAAATACATAAACATAAAGAAAATAATTCTTTTATGTCATTTTACCAATCACACCTATTAGACTTCATCTGATCTCTTTTTCACCCCCCTAAAGTTTAATTCAAAAACTGTAAACGGTGTAGGGTTTGGTAAATTGAGTGCTTTAAGAGCTCAATATATATTACCTCTACTTATGACCAATAAGCTGTGATACTCTATATAAATAATATCAACCTGCTTGGTCTTTACGGTGTTTAATCAGAAGATTCTAGGATTCCTTGTTTTATTAAGGGATTGCAAACACTTCGTTTTGATTCAGAAAAGAGTACAGACACTTCTGCTTTTGCTCCCTTATCTCTTTTTCCCAAGGCTCTTTATCCTGTCTACCCACAGAGCGCGTCTCTGCATTTCTTCTGAAAACCCCCATTTTTTTAGAATGGATTTAATTAATTGGTCATTCAACGCGATTGACAAGATTTTTTCTACGATGAGAACGGAGGAGGTGGCTCCCACTTGCCCGCAAGGGACACACGCAGCGGGGTATATGCTCGATTCCTGGAGGGAGTGGAAGATCGTATGCCTCTCTCAGCTGTCTATTGAGGATGTCGAAGATGTGTGGATATTTGGCCTGATGATCACTGGATTTCTTCTGATTGGAGTGGGAGGATATCTGGTTTTCTGGAAATTTGGGAAGACGGGAGCGATTGGAGGGTGACCCGCACCCACGGAAAGCACCGCCCGTGTGGAGACCTCACAGAATGGGACGTTACTTGAGGTGAATCGTAAGCTGGTCAATGTTCTAGCTGCGATACCGGTATTAGTGCGCAACATGGATGTCATCTCGGAGAAGATCACTGGACGGTGTGGAGATGTTTAAAACCTGAATTGGCTTCACTGGAGGACTTGAATGATCAGTTACAGACTTGAAGGCAGAGAGGAAAATTATCTCTGCCTGACCCAAACAAAGTCTTGTTATCCGAATCTGACGCCATGGCAGCCTTGTGAATGCCAACAACAAACCCCCACGAAGGAATGCAGACAGATGCTGTGAAAACCCGAACTACCCCCCCCCCCGCCTTCGGATTGGTGGACTTCAGTCTGGCGAGGTCATCAACCTGCAGGTGTCAATGTGCTCTGCGCTCCTCCCAAGATCTCCCTCCCACCTGTGGCTACAGTGGCTGAGCGCCATGGGGCTGCTCTCGCTGGGGAAACAGGATCCCAGCGCCCCCCCTTCCTCTCGGTGTCTCATGTTGTGAATTGTTGATGTTCGTGTTTATATGTTTGAGGCGTATTTTTTTGCATAGTAAAGATATGCCCTGCCGGGAGTAACTCTGGTATGCCTTTTTTCCCTCCCCCAATTTATCCTCATGTAATCCCCTTTTCATCTAATTAACGGTAGCGCGACTCTTGTTGCGATTGACCACAGTACCTATTCTTCTGTACTGAAACAATTGCCCCTAGGAGATGATTAAAGTTTTTTTTATTTGAATTAGAATCATAAAATTAAGAATTTATCTTTAAAACAATTAAAACATGACATGTTAACTAACATTTACTGTGAGTGGATGGATCTAGATGGAGCAGGTGTAGTGTATGGTGCCTATGTGTGAATGCAATGTTATCAGAACTTCCGTATCTAGGAGAGCTGAGTTCTGGGTGTAAAGAATTTGGTTTGCGCTAAGCTAAGAAGTTGATTATTATCAAAAGGCATCAGACGCTGTGTGTCTACTTCACCCGTTCTCGGAGACCCTCTTCGTGGATCCGAAGGTCAGAGAGGTTGGATGACCTCTGGCACCGAGGGCTGTAGAATACCGTAGTACCGACTCTTCAGTCCATAGATGTCTCGGGTCATGACAGATGGATGGAACCGCGCGTCTGGGACTCTTAATTTGTCAAAACAATATCAGCTTTTCTGCAGCAACCGTTTGCAATATCAGCTTCACAGGTGCAAAAAGATTTTGACGACGTGTCAAAAGCTTTGGTGGGTTAGAGAGGTTTTGCTTCAGATGGCCGGTCTGAACCTTTCTCAAGAACTGAGCTGAACTGCTGAGCTGAACTGAACTGAACCGCTGAATCACCAGAGTGATCCAGTTTTAAAGTTCTCATGTTATGATTTGTGTAGCCAACCAGAGGTTGACAAGTTGAGGAATATTACCAAGACAACCTCTGAAACACGCCTTCCTTGATACCGATGCTCTGATCTGGGGTAAAGGACTATCTATGTGTCACACCTTTGACTTTACTTTACTTTGTCCTTGTGTGAGTGCAAATGGTGAGGACCCTGTCTTATCAACATATATCAATCACTGTAATCATAACATAACATTCATTTCAAACTTCAATCACTCAAGCACAGATTAATGAAAGCATTTCATTATATTATAATTATTATAAGTAGCAGTGAACAAACGTTTATTTAATGATTATCTAGCTTATAAGATTTAAAAGTTCATCTTTAATTTAAGAAATCGTTCTTTGATTTAGCAACTAATCCGAGCTGTGAATGTTCCTTATTCAGAGGCATGAAGAATCCTGTAGGACGATAAGGGAAGCTTGGACCTTGAGGAGAGAACATCATTGTTGACAATTCATTATCTGTGTTCAGAGCTGCAGAGAAGCTCTGAGCTTCAGGCAGGCCGATTTAAAGGGAACACATGCAGTCTTGTGTCTCCATTTTGACCAGATGTTGAATGGTCAAACAGTGCGTAAAAACTGACCATTGCTGGACGTTACAACAGAAACATTTTTGTTCTAAAAACAAAATAGTTCAAATCAAGGCTGAACATTAGTGAGGTGTTTTATTTTACTCGTTGCTATAAATGGCGTTCTTTTAGGCTTACAAGGTTGATCATGAAGAAGTGTTGTTTGCTCTAACCCGAGTCGTGCATTTTAATAAAACCCATCTTTTTGGAAAAGGTCACATCAGATGAAGCTCCAGCTCAAGCCTGCTGTGTAAAAGTCAGCAGATTAACACATTTCAGTCTCATTTTATGGATGTTACAAGTGTCAACAGGGGTTTTGTGGCAGATTCTTGCAAAACATAGATATGTCATAGTTTTATTAGTGAAACACGACCATTTACAATGTTTGTTAGAGTTTAGTGTTCTGCTGTCAAACAACATCTCTTGCTTATTCTAGCATGAGACGGTGTGAAAAATAGTCAAGAAAGAAACAGAATAACAATGTTCTCCCTCTGAATTTGTTATTTCTATGAAATCACTCATTATGAGTTTGGGCGTGTTGCTAAATTGTGACCTATATTAGTTATTTTTGTTATACTTAATTTCTTAAATTATTCTTATTAAGTTGTTGTAATTGCCAAGTCAACTGCATGAAGATGACAACAGAAAAGCTTTATTACATAATTTTATTAAATTCACTAACATTGTGCTGCACATTGTCTTACTGTTCTTTGATTGCTCTTCTTATCTGTTTCATCTCGTGTCGGCTTTACAAAGGAAACAATCGTAATTTTATTCTGGTGCAAGCATGTCTAAAGAGCAAGTTACCCTCCTACCAGAGTCTTACTCCACCCACATTTCCAGTCCAACTTGCTTGGAACTGTTTTTTTAAAGGTGCATGTTTATTAACTGTTGCTAAAAGGACCTTGTTAAAAGCTTCTACTGCCTCATCAGGGTTGTCTTTTAAGCCCTCTTTAGAAGACTCACTGTGCTGTCAAATCAGCGTATTACTGCAAAGGTGTGTCTTATAAATGCACTATGCCGGTATGGCGATGCGCAAATTTTGCGGCATTCATTCCACCTCACTTGGTAGTAATATTGCGGTAATTGTCTGTCTCTAGAATTCAGCTGTGCAGGCCGTACGTTTTGCTTTCTGAACAAAATCATGTGAGACAGCAAACTGGAGCAATGCAAGAGCTGGAGCTGAGATCACCAGAAACTGCACAGGGGCTGTCGAAGACAGACAGCTTTAAGTGTAGCTTGTTAAAAATAAAACGTAATAAGTGCGGCTTTGATCGCAATAAAAAGCAAAACAGACGTTTGCGACTGCGCAGAGTCTGCTCCCATACCCCCTTTATGCCACCTTTGAAGGAACAATTCCAACTTGGCCAGATCCTCAAATAAGTTATAATCATCGCCCTTGGATACTTTTATGTGCCGGAATAAACAGGAAAACTTGGAAACGTGCTATATGACAGGATAACAGCGTTTTGATTGAATATATTCATTATTAAATAAAAGGCACTAACATGCTAGCCTGGCCTGCCAGACTCTAATTCTACACAGAGAACTAGTCTGGTTACTCACAGGCAGAGAGACACATGAGGGGCGGGGCTATCCAGCTCAAAAATAACCACTTCTGGCTACAGCGCAAGCATCTTTCTTTAGAGAAAAGGCTTTTAGCGCTTCCACTTGTTGTGGTGATAAAGACATGTCCAAGTCATTTAGAACAGAAGAAAGAGCCACAGCGAACTCCGCCTCAAACATCGTCTTCATGTTTATGAGAAACTCAGCATTGCGGTGTGTGACGTCTGCTGCTCGGCGCTGATTGGCTCTGTTAGAACTCTCAGGGGGTGGGGTTATTTGAATAGAAGGGTTTCCAGAACCAATGCTTCCCATAAGGAAGCGTGGGGATGGCTGGTCAGGCCACTAAAATGCCTAAATAATGACTGAACATGTCTATAGCACTAATAGACACTCATTTATACAGTTTATCAGTAAAAACATCTGATTTGGGAGTGACTTGCTTTTTAGGAGGGTGAGCATGTATGGGTATTTTGCATTAATCTGATCAATCTAAAGACAGGCATTCAATTCAAAAAGCAACATAATTTATATTCAAAAGCTAAAGTCCATCAGAGAAAGAGAAAAAACTTTTTAATGGATTATATGTTTCTGACATACCTGACCCCTGACCTCTCGTTGTTAAAGCAACAGTGCACCTGATGGCTTCTTATTGTTATTTTCCTCTCATGAGACACCAAAACCTCAAGCTCTAACGAGACAATAATTATTTTTGCTCAGTGCAAGTCACAAATAACCCATCTCTTCAATAATCAGACATGTTAAACCACACTTGATAGTTCCAGAAATGCGGGCGTGCTTTTTTAAATACGTGTAAATTACTTCTTTTAAATGTGAGCAAACTGCACCATTGCAGCAAGGTTTGGTTGACAGCAGAATACTCAATTCAATTCAGTTCAAATATACTTTATTAATCCCAGAGGGAAATTAGAGTTTTAGTACACACAATTCAGAGATCAGACATGCATAGGCATAGACACATGACAAGAATTGGTGACTGTGGTCATTCGCAACCCTGAGTCGCGCTACCTTAATAGAGATCAGAGGGGATATATGAGGGTTGAGTCAGGTGGAGCGAGAAAAAAAAAAGACACTTCAGAGTTACCCTCCACAGGGAGGGCAGCTTTGCTCTGCAAAAAACACCTCAGACAGAAATGCAACAGACTTCAGACATCACACAACATAAGTGTCCACCAGGTGGGGTGGTGGGTTTGGGACTCCCCACACGTCAGTGCCTGCAGCCACGATAAGCAGCGCACGTCACTTCAGTCTGGGCAGGGGGAGGGAGGTCGTTGGGGTTTGGAGGGCACAGTGACTCCTGGAATGATTTGGCGGCCTTCACAGCCCGCAGTCCTGCCCAGGATAGGGAGACAGAGTTGCCATAGCGACAGCAGCATTCCACATTTCTTCTGAGAGGGGAGTAAGGTGCAAATGTACTTTTGCAAAGGCTTTTTAAACTAAATGGTGACACATCACCCTGAATAGTACCTGCAATAGATGCACAATACTTTGTGAATTGTAGCATAAGTGCTTTGTAGCAAAGTGCTGTTCTGCCTGTGGACTCTTACATCAAAGCCGTTCAGTGTTGGTTTTCTGTTGCACATAGAAAGTAAAATCTGAGTCATCTGATGACATTATGCACCAAAGATGATGAAATTGAGTTTTGCTTTTAGGAGCAATATTCTTGACATGCTTTTATTTTTGCCATCACATTATTTCGCATCGAAACACTCATTTTCTCATTCTTACCGATGAACATCACAATTTTACAAGCATATCAAAGAATGTGTTGTTTGATTTAGTTAAACTCCTTTTATGTTCCTGCTGCCCTTGTCACAACTTTTAGAGGATTACATGAGGTTCAAAGATGCTAGACTGAAAAAATACAAGTGTGTAAAACTTGCCCAAACTATAACTCTAGCCAAATAAACAAATTTATCAACTGACTTTCTAATAAATAAATAAATAAAATCTGTAGTTTTCATCCTTCCAGAAATTATAACATTATTTTTTTTTAGAAATCTGTAAACTTGATGGTCTTACCCTGTTCTGTGATAAAATGTATGCAATAAATCAATTTGTTTTTTATTTTTTGCTAAGGCCGCCTCTTTGTCCCGTAAATCCCCGTGATATTTGAACTGACTTAGCCAAAAGTGTTCCAAGATCAACTTACGTTCAGATGTTATTCACAGAGCAATCATGCACATTTGCAGAAGTAGGGTTTTTTCATGGACAAGTTTTTATAATGTACCCTGCCCGGCCCAAAAAAACAGGTCATCATTGTAGTTGTCACCTTTTTCACACCATCCGAGTTTGCAGGCATGCTAACATCTAAAACATCTCCCCAGCCTTCATTTGTGTCAACAGGAGATTCATCCCTAAATCAAACAAATCAGTGTTCATGATCTAAAACATGCAGGAATTGTGCTGGAAGCAAACTGCAGCGCCAAGTATGTCAGCTCCTTTTTTCAAGTCCCAACAGAGCGGCCCACTATGCTGAAGTTGCAAGTGGAATATTCTGGCCACAGGGTGCGATGGGGCAGGGTGGCCTTTCATTAACCCTGTAAAGGGTCTTTTTAGCACACACTGGCTCAATAAAATGATTTAAAAATATGAAAAAGTTGCTAAGTATCCCTTTAAAGCTCTCAATATAAAAGTTGTTCCAGTTGCGTCATTTTTGACTGCTAACTATTAACTCAGATAGCATACTTCTTCATAAAAAACAACCAGTATTTATATAACTTTCTTCCACAGAGAACTTTGGCTCGTTAATCTTACTCTGCAATCAGTCCTTTTATTTCAGAAAGAGGCACTTGTCACTGGGCTGTGCTGTCAGATGGCACCATGATTCACACACACACACCCACATTGCACAAAAAAACTCCAATTGTCCTTACACTTTTTGTTTCCCTGTAATATTGAATGAAAGCCAGTGAGAGATTTGTGACAAAACAAGAAAAAAATAAAAGTATGTCGTAATACAAGCTTGGCGATGACTTGGAGTCGTTCTGTCATACTCATCACCAGCAGATGAGATCCACGACTTGTGTTAAAGTTCATAGTCATTTATAAGGTGACAGCAGCCATCAGTGCCAGTGGGAGCCTATTACGGATATATATCCCTGTGAAATAGTGCATTGGATTCTTGGTGCAGAATCTGAGATCTACTGCATTGAATGCAGATGAATCGAGCCGTCAAATTGTTTGAGTGTTCCTATCAAAAATAGTCAGCCAGTCAAAAACAAATATTTATTCTTAAATATTCTATACTATTATAGAACCGGTAAGATTAGAGTGTTGTAGCACCACAAACTGGCTTTTATCTCGGCTAACAAAGGAATAAAAGCTAAAATAACGGTGTTGTGAGGAATAACAAATTATGTAGATGTTGGTTTGAAGAGCAATGCAGCATATCTGAGCTGATATTTGAGGTGTTTTGATTTTACAACCTGAAGTATTTCTGCTCACATTCACCCCTTTCATATGCCTCATTAACAAACACAGGCTATGAAAACCAGCTGTGCTCTTTCTCCTGCCAACCAAATAATGAATGCCAGGTAAAATTAGAGAAAAAAGACTGGACATCATGAAGCATTTTGTAGCTGAAGAGTCTGACAGGTGGGGCAGAATAAAAGCAAACAGAAAAATGATTGTGTAATATCTGCGTGTAGTTCAAGGCTTTTTCTGATCAATGCATTGAGATTTACATTCCCCACTCCCACATCTACCACAAGACTGTGGTTGGAGAATCCATGTTGATTGATTGATTCATTGATTGATTGATAAGATAGTTCAGATCTTTTGTGCTCAGGTTAATTGGGTTTATAATTAATTATTATCCAACGTGTTGTAGATAACTCTGAGTAAACTGTTAGGAAAAATAATTATTATTAGTCATTACTAGACTGATGAGCTAAAGGTCTGAATGAGTTCTGCCATGTTGTTGCTTTTACTAGCCGAGGCAGGCTCTGCTCTCTCCTGGATGCTAAAACAACATCCATCCCCAAGGCGAGCCAAGATGGGTGAGTCCATGAATGCTAATTTACAATGTGACATACATCTGAGTGGCTTTTTCCAACCCGGACGTTTCCCTGTCTATTTTGTATTGGCGGCTAATGCAGGAAGAAGGGGTAGAAGAACATTTTCACATTTAACCTGCATGTGTAACTCAGTGACTGATCCTATTTAAAAAATAACAAGTAAAAATGGTTTCTCAGTGAACTTGGTCCTTAAATCAAAGTAACAGCTATTGCAACTTAAGTGATGCATTGATCAGGATGTTTCTAATAATGAGAATGTTTCTGCCTAAATAACCTTACAACACAGGTCCTTCTCAAAATATTAGCACATCATGAAAAAATTCTCTAAACGATCTATTAACCTAATCATCTGAATCAACTAATTAACTCTAAACACCTGCAAAAGTCGTGGAGGATGGCTGCTTATACTGAGCCGGGATTCTCTGGAGGTTTCTTCCTGTTAAAAGGGAGTTTTCCTCTCCACTGTCGCTTTATGCTTGCTTAGTATGAGGATTGCTGTAAAGTCACTGATTTGCTGGGTTCCTTATATAGGAAACATTATTTCTGATTGGCTTAATGAACTGACCTGAATTGGAATGTTTATTATGTGAAGTGCCTTGAGACGACTCTTGTCGTGATTTGGCGCTATATAAATAAACTTGAATTGAATTGAATTGAATTGAAAAGATTCCTGAGGCTTTTAAAAACTCCCAGCCTGGTTTATTACTCAAGAACGCAATCATGGGTAAGACTGCTGACCTGACTGCGGTCCAGAAGGCCATCATTGACACCCTCAAGCAAGAGGGTAAGACACAGAAAGACATTTCTGAAGGAATAGGCTGTTCCCAGAGTGCTGTATCAAGGCACCTCAGTGGGAAGTCTGTGGGAAGGAAAAAGTGGCAGAAAAGGCTGCACAACGAGAAGAGGTGACCGGACCCTGAGGAAGATTGTGGAGAAGGACCGATTCCAGACCTTGGGGGACCTGTGGAAGCAGTGGACTGAGTCTGGAGTAGAAACATCCAGAGCCACCGTGTACAGGCGTGTGCAGAAAATGGGCTACAGGTGCCGCATTCCCCAGGTCAAGCCACTTTTGAACCAGAAACAGCGACAGAAGCGCCTGACCTGGGCTACAGAGAAGCAGCACTGGACTGTTGCTCAGTGGTCCAAAGTACTTTTTTCGGATGAAAGCAAATTTTGCATGTCATTCGGAAATCAAGGTGCCAGAGTCTGGAGGAAGACTGGGCAGAGGGAAAAGCCAAAATGCCTGAAGTCCAGTGTCAAGTACCCACAGTCAGTGATGGTCTGGGGTGCCATGCCAGCTGCTGGTGTTGGTCCACTGTGTTTCATCAAGGGCAGGGTCATTGCAGCTAGCTATCAGGAGATTTTGGAGCACTTCATGCTTCCATCTGCTGAAAAGCTTTATGGAGCTTTTTTGTGCTTTCAGCACAACCTTGCACCTGCTCACAGTGCCAACACCACTGGTAAATGGTTTACTGACCATGGTATTACTGTGCTAAATTGGCCTGCCAACTCTCCCGACCTGAACCCCGTAGAGAATCTGTGGGATATTGTGAAGAGAAAGTTGAGAGACGCAAGACCCAACACTCTGGATGAGTTTAAGGTCGAAGCATCCTGGGCCTCCATAACACCTCAGCAGCGCCACAGGCTGGTTGCCTCCATGCCACGCCACACTGAAGCAGTCATTTCTGCAAAAGGACTCCCAACCAAGTATTGAGTGCATAACTGAACATAATTATTTCAAGGTTGACTTTTTTTGTATTAAAAACACTTTTCTTTTATGGGTCGGATGAAATATGCTAGTTTTTTGAGATAGGAATTTTGGGTTTTCATGAGCTGTGTTGGGGTTATAGGTCAACGAATAATTTGTAAGCTTTTACTTACTTTTTGGATTCTTCAATAAATTTGTAAATATGGAAATATTTACCGATTTATTAATTAATTAGGATATCTGGAGATATCTGCGGGGCACCATCCCCTTCTTCAAGGGAAAAATTCAATCCAAAACTCTTATCAGTCTCGACTAAACGTTCCGTGAATCCTAACGAGCTGTTGTTGAATTTTATATCACACAAACAAATCACCTTAGACAGAATCTTAATTGAATAACATTTATTAACTGAATTATCATCACTTCACTTCAGCTCCTTCTGAAGTGTTCAGCCAACAATATTAACCAACTTATTTTATCAAATGAATAACAGGTAATGAAACAATGAAATAATAATGTGATATATTGATCTGATATGTGTGTGTTTTAGATTGAGTCGTCCGTCCCCCCCAACACTAAAACAAGTATGTGTGTGTGTCCTAGAGCCCTGCACTGAAGCGCTAGGCCCTCGGGTCGATCTAAAATCTCATCATTTGAAGCTAATTCATCCTCTACTTCACTCAGATCTGAAAGTCTGCTTAAATCAAAACAATCCGGCAGCAGCAAATTATTGTATTCAGGTGTATGGCTAACATTGTGTGATTGTTCTATTTGCCTCCAAATTTCATCTAAAGTTTGTGGAGATGGCAGATCTGAATTTAATAGAATTTCTTCGGCCTCATCTGAAGGAGGAGTTTGGCAGGCTAGAATTCAATCTAAAGTCCCATTATTTGCAGCTAATTCATCATCATCCAAATCTGAAAGTCCACTCAGATCGAACCAGTCCGGTAGCAAATCACAGCATTCAGGCATATGACTCATGATACAAAGAGAAAAAAAAAACTACTATAAACTTGATGAATGAAAAAAATAAATCCTTGGTCCTCTTCTTCTCTCTCTTTTAATCCTCACAGAGACAGAACATTCCCCACGATGTTTACAAGCCCGTAGGAGATCTGTAGAAGCATGTATGCCATTTTCATACGATTCGTTCTTTGAAGTCAAGTGAGCCGCTGATTCCTCCTCCGACGTAATTCTGGGTGGAGAAATAGAGAGAGTATGAATGAATCGTCATCTTTTAATAAAAACTTTATTAAACACTTTATTCTGATTACTTACCGGGTCTCTGTGTGGCAGCGACGGGACAGCATGGAGCTGAGTCTTGATCGCTGGTCACCGGTGGCTGTTCTGGCTGTGACGCCACCCCCTCGTCACAGCCGTGTTGAGGTGTGGGTGGGATAAAGTCTTGACTTGCGGCGTATTGCTGCGAGGGGCGTTCCTGATCGTCTCTGTTCCCTCCCTGTCCTTCTGGAGAAATAAGATATTTCTCAGCTGAAAGGGATATATCACGTTATTGAATTGCGTTTAAAAAATCACTTACTGAGTTCGCTAAATGCATCTTGCGGGCTTGGTGGCGGTGGTGGTGGTGGTGGTGTTTCACGTTCTAATTGAGAAAGAGGGATTTCGCCATCCCTTTTGCTCTCGTGTCACGAGCGTGCCTGGTGAGTGGAGCGGAGGTAGGATCCAATCACGTGGAGGAAGAAGGCGAACAAGTAGGTCCGTTTAACATAGGTTTATTAAGTGCACACGCTGGACACTGAAACAATGACACGACATGAAACACAAAACAGACGGGGTTTAAATACACGAGGAGCTGGAGCTATGGTGATTGGGAAACAAGATGCAGGTGGGAGCAATTAACGGAAACACAGACTAAAACATAAGAGAAGACAGGACAGGGTGTGACAGTAACCCCCCCCCCCCACCCACCCACAAAGGGCGGATCCCACACGCCCACAGGAACAAGGAGCAGGGTGGGAGGAGGGGGACCCGGAGGGAGGGCCCAGAGGAACCGAGGGACCACAGGAGAGGCGGCAGGGATCAGCAGAGTCAGGGGGCCTGTGCCTGCGGCAGAAGAGGAGGCGACGAGCCCCTGGAGGCCTGCGTCTGTGGCAGAGGAGGAGACGAGGACGGACCCTTGGGGGCCTGCGTCTGTGGCAGAGGAGGAGGCAGCAACGAGCTCTCGGGGCCCGGCGTCTACGATAGAGGAGCTCTGCAGGCTGGGCCAGTGACAAAGTCTCTGCAGGCTGGGCCAGTGACAAAGTCTCTGCAGGATGGGCCAGTGACAAAGTCTCTGCAGGCTGGGCCAGTGACAAAGTCTCTGCAGGCTGGGCCGGAGTGACCTTCAGAACCACCATCGGAACCGGAGACGGTGGAGACGTCAGACCAGAGGGGACGTCATCCTCTGGACAGGAGGAAGCGTCGACCTCTGAAGTGGAACGAGCGTCGACCTCTGGACACGAGGAAGCGTCGACCTCTGGAGTGGAATGAGCGTCGACCTCTAGGGTGAATGAGGCGGCTTCAGATGAGGCGGCTTCAGACGAGGCGACTTCGGAGACGGCTTCAGACATGTCGACCCCAGAGACGACGACTTCAGAGGAGGCGTCAACTTCAGAGGAGGCGTCGACTTCAGAGGCGACGTCGACTTCAGAGGAGACGTCGACTTCGGAACAGGGTGAGGCGTCGACCCCTGGACTGGAGGCGTCGACCCCTGGACTGGAGGCGTCGACCCCTGGACTGGAGGCGTCGACCCCTGGACTGGAGGCGTCGACCCTTGGACTGGAGACGGTGTCGACTTCCATCGGCTTCTGGTCCTCCGGCTTCTGGACCGCCGCTCTCTGAACCGCCGGCTTCTGGGCTGGTACCATCTGCTTCTGGGCCGGAACCGGAACTGTCTGCTTCTGGGCTGATACCGTCTGCTTCTGGGCCGGAACCAGAACCGTCTGCTTCTGGGCTGGTACTGTCTGCTCCTGGGCCCGCGCAGTCTGCTTCTGGACCCGCACCGCCGGCCTCTGGACCCCCGCTGGAACCGGCATTGAGTAAACGGGTGGTGCTGGAGACAGGGAGCGCAGAGCGTCCAGTAGGAGCTTATTAGAACTGGCGATCTGTTTAAGCTGGACCAGCTCAGCCCGGAGACTGGCAAGTTCAGTCGGCTGGGTTGTGGGCGTTGCTCCACCTCCTGCAGATGATGGAGGATCCGATCGGACCGGAGGCGGGACAGCCTGTCCGACCAGGGGTGGGTCCAAGCCGCTGCGTCCAGCTGGAGCAGCGAGCAGATCGTCCAGCTGGAGCTCATTGAGTTCAAGGGTCTGACGAACCTGGGCCATCTCAGCTTGGAGAAGGGCGAGCTCCACCAGCTGGGCTGCGAGCGCAGCTCCTCCACCTGCAGGCGCCGATTCGGCCGGAGACGGGACCGCTGGTTTGACTGGGGACGTGTCCGAACTGGCGCGCCGAGCACGGCCAGCGGCGTGCTCGCAGCTCCGTCCTGAAGCGCAGGGCTGCGGTGGATTCCGGCGTCTTTCCCCACGCCGTGGACCGACTCCGGGGGAGCAGATAGCCAGCCTCGTGCCCTCGAAGCTGGAGCGATCCAGGAGCGTCTCCCCATCCAAACTCCCGTCCGGTTCCGGAAGGGTGGCGAGGAACGCCGAGGCTGACTGTCGGGGACGCCGGCGGCGGCGAGGCGGAGCTGGGGCTGGAGAGGGAGAAGCCGGCTGGTGGGTCGGGGTAAGCCACCGGAGCAGGTACTCCCAGGGAAGAATCTCCCCGCTGGATCCTTTAAGGGGTCATGTCATTCTGTCACGAGCGTGCCTGGTGAGTGGAGCGGAGGATGGATCCAATCGCGGGGAGGAAGAAGGCGAACAGGTAGGTCCGTTTAACATAGGTTTATTAAATACACACGCTGGACACTGAAACAATGACACGACTTGAAACACAGAACAGACGGGGTGTTAATACACGAGGAGCGGGAGCTATGGTGATTGGGAAACAAGATGCAGGTGGGAGCAATTAACGGAGACACAGACTAAAACATAAGAGAAGACAGGACAGGGTGTGACAGGACGACACGACAATTGCGGCTAAAAGAAAAATAGATGTGGGTATATTGATGAAACATTGGAAAATGGAGTTTGAGTCAATTCTTCCACTTACCTGACATCACGGTGTGCTTCAGATAATGAGATCCGAGACAGTTTTTCCCATTACAGTTATACGGTCTTATAAAAAAAAAATCTTGAATGGAAACGACGCGATTGGTCAAGGTTGATGTTTAAAACACTTTTTAAAACATCACAATGAATTCCATTACCAATGTTCGTGTCTGTCATTTGATCTGTGTGTGTGTGTGTGTGGGGGGGGGGGGGGGGGGGGGTATTTTTTTTACTTGTGTCCATCGGTTGTTCTTCTTCTTCAAAGCCTGTACGTGGCTTTATTACAGCCCTAAAATCGCCGTTACTGTTCAACATATACAGTAACGGATTATTGGCTGTGTCCCTGTAACTTGTTCCTTAAAGCGTTTATGAAAAATCTGTTGCGAGGTTAAGCTGATCTCATCATTACGTAATTCAAACGTAGTTCTCAGCAGACTAGCTTGTGGTTTTTTCGGATCAAAACTCATTTCTCCTCTCTTGTCTTTGAAAAGGATCTCTAAATAGCACTAAGGAGAGGAGGGTAACTGAAGAAAAGGGGACCTGCATGAGGAGAGTGTCTGAATGTAAGGGGGGTCGGCACCCCGCGGCACTTCCACCCATCTGATGCGGCTCTCTGTGGTTGTAAAATAATGAATGAATGTTTAAATAAAATGCTTTATATTTTACTGCATTAATTTTATGTCTGTATGCCAACGCGCTCTGGTTCTGCAACGCGCTCCGAGCCCCCTCCAACGTGACAGAGCCTAGATTTGCATTCTGAACATTTTAATCATGTTTTAAAAGGAGAGATGTGTGACAAAAGTGGCACCTTCTCTGTAAAACCACTATCAGAGTGAAAAATATCGAAATATTGTAGGCAGAGATGGTGTACAACTTCTGGATTCATTTTATACACATCATTTTATTGATTATCTTCTGTTGAAAGACAACTTTGATGTGCACAGTGACCGGTATTGGTAGGTGTCACTTGTGATTGATTAAAGCAGCTCTCTACTGCTGTGGCAGAGGAGGGGATGTTGGCCAGATGAAATGAGTCCTGTGTGTGTGTGTGTGTGTGTGTGTGTGCGTTAGGGTTGTCACGGTATGAAAATGTAACCTCACGGTTATTGTGACCAAAATTATCACGGTTTTCGGTATTATCGCGGTATTTTTTAAACGGTGTTGCATATGTTCAGAAAGCATTGATAGTCCTGTTCTACACAAACTAAAATAGTTCTGAAAAGGTTTAACAATGTTTATTAAACCTAAAATAACACAAAGCCTTAGCAAAAGTGCAACTTTTCACAAGTAAAGGAACAAATAGCTTCTTTTTCTGGAACATGTTACAGTAGTCAGTGCAGGTGTAAATTATACAAATCCAAACATTCAAAACATAAACAATATGTAAACAAATCAAAGAAACACCACTTGTTTTCTCATATACTTGTTTTCTTCATTATCAAAATGAAAATCTAAAACTCCAGTCCACACTTGACTTGAGCGCTGTACAAGTCAACCTTAAAAAATATGTATTTAAAATAAATAGCCACTTTAAACAAATGACTAAAATAACTACTACACTATGTAATCAAATCCAAATGTTCAAGTATAAATGGCATTGAATAAGTAAACAAATCAATGACAAGGAACTAATTGTATATTTCTCTTCATCATCAACAAATAAGATGCTTCATGCAGCAACAGGGTGTCCGTGACACGGTTTAAATGCTGGCAGAGGACGCTGCGGCTGCAGTATATAGTGACTCGTTGCATTCTCCCTCAACCAAAAGTCCTCACGTCATGCATTTAAGCTAAAATGCTAATGTTAACTTACCTTGCACTGGCTGTAGAGACGTGGGTGATGGTCACGCGGATGTGCCATGAGATTCGAAGTGTTGCTGCCTTCTGCAGACACTTGTTTCCTGCACGTTCTGCAAATGGGATAGCAGTCTTCTATTAACTGTCCCTCAGCATTTTTCAGAAATCCAAAATATGCCCATACTTCCGATTTAGTCATCTTTGAGGGCTGATGGATGTCCTGGGCGCTGCCGTCGCCTCCTTCGGCCGTTATTTCAGCTTCAAAGTTTTGGTGCCGTTGCAAACTAAAAAGTGCGTGTGCGTGCCGCGGGAACTTCAGCTGAAGCGACGGTGGCTGGTAAGGGTCACCGCGCCGAAACCGCGGCCACGGTAAACCCACCGGGATAATTTAGTTTTTTAAAAACTGGACGGTTATTTTTATTATCAACTTTTTTACCGGGGTTTACCGCTATACCGGTTACCGTGACAACCCTAGTGTGCGTACGTGCGTGCATGCGTGTGTGTGTATAAATGATCAACTAGCCTTAAAAGGGGAACTTCTTTCTTTCGTTGTAAACTGATACCCCCAGCATTTTCTGGCAGAGCTTTGTCAGATGACTGTTTGCTGCATTCGTTTACAAGTGGAAGCCATCATTGGTTGATGGGGGGTGGCTGAGCTTTGTCTACTGATGCCTTCATTTACATGCGAAGCCAACCTAAATGGAATGTGCTTGGTTGATGTCTTGAATCTGGTGAACTGAGCCTGTCCACCCAAATACTTCCTGCTTAGAAAGAGAATGAGCTGTTAGTTGCATGGCAACAACCCCCACCGCTGATTCCCATTGGATGCAACAAAGGTAAGTCGACGCTTTGTCCAGGTAAGTGACATGATCGCGAGCTGAGGTGACAATTGTCTCTATGGATGTATGGTGACTCCCTTTGTTGTAAATTTAACCTAGGATTAGGAGAGGAGGGGAGGAGAGGGGTGGCTGAGACAAATGTCTGTTTGGATGCTGAATGGTTTAGAGTTGGTAACCCTAAATTAGGGGCGACGGTGGCACAGGAGTTAAGTGCTCGCCCCGTAATCGGAAGGTTGCAGGTTCGAGCCCTGCTCAGTCTGTCGCTGTCGTTGTGTCCTTGGGCAAGACACTTAACCCACGTTGCCTGCTGGTGGTGGTCGGAGGGACCGGTGGCGCCAGTGCTCGGCAGCCTCACCTCTGTCAGTGCACCCCAGGGCAGCTGTGACTACATTGTAGCTCATCACCACCAGTGTGTGATTGTGTGTGTGAATGGGTGAATGACTGATTGTGTTGTAAAGTGCCTTGAGGGGTTCCACAATCAAAAACTTCATGCGTCATTACACAACAGTCTGCAATTCATTTCTTGACATACAGGCTCATTAAAGGTCATTTCACAAAAGGTCATGAAACAATAGACCTGTCAAAAAATTTGACAAAAGGTGGTTCCTTATATTTCTCTCATGTGGAAAGACACATCTGGTGGTCGTGGAAAATATGTTAGAGAAGGGTCAGAACATTGGCATTCATCAAGCAGAGAAAGCATTTAAGGAGATTTTAGAAACGACTAAAACTGGTTTAGAACTGTCCAACGCATTGTTAAAAACTGGAAAAATAGTCAAGATCCATCGTCTTTCAGGAAGAAATGTAGCTGGAAAAAAATTCCTGAATGATCGGCAATGACTTAAACTTTTGTGAAATCAAGAGAAGAACAACAAGTGCTATGTTTAATAGTTTAAGAGCATTTCCACATGCATAATGGCTAGAAAAAAAGGCATACATTTGCTAGGGAGCATAAAGATTTGACTCTGGAGCAATGGAAGAAGGTCATGTGGTCTGATGAGTCCAGATGGAACCTGTTCCAGAGTGATGGTGCATCAGGGTAAGAAAAGAGGCAGATGAAGTGATGCGCCCATCATGCCTAGTGCCTACTGTACAAGCCTGTGGGGGCAGTGCTATGATCTGGGGTTGCTGCAGTTGGTCAGGTGCCTCAGTAGAAATAAATGCACTGGGGGTGAAATGAAACCCACCCAAAATTAAGGTTGGGCATCGTTTTAATTTGAACTATTCCTATTCCAAATCCTCATTTCGATTCTGGTTCCTATCGATTCCCGATTCTGATTCTTTCAAGTGGCAGGCTCCAAAAACGTAGCATGTTTTAAATGAGCCAGCTAACCACAGGTCTTACTTGATGAAATAATCAGAACTTAAGCATGTATTTAACTCATTTACTGCCAGCCGTTTCCTGGTCAGAAAAGCCCTTCGCTGCCAGCGTTTTTCAGCTTTTTCACAGTTTTTTTTAAGAGTCACAGAACGTTGCGCTCTATGATGATGTCAACACCAAAACTAACTAAACAAAGAGTAGACTCACCTCTTACATCATGAGGAATCTGCACGTTTTGAGCGTTATACGTTCTTCCATAATTTGTTGTTCAATTGTGATTGGAAGAAGCTTTTCCGGTTCGTGCCTCACTTTTTTTTACAGCAACGGCTCAAAGCGATCTCCTAACACATGAGTTTCTGCTTCCTGATCACGTAACATGTGACGTATGCAGATGAAGATGGGCTTTAGAGCTGGGATGTTTGTTCTCACGGTGCCCACACAGTAAAAAAATGCAATTGACGACTTTAGTATTCATTGGCAGTGAACGGTTGGATTAAATTTTTTGCGGCTGGATTTAAGTCTTTATTGCATTTATGTCACAAACAACCTTGCTTTAGCTTTGATTAAGTCTTCTTGGACAAAGTGCTTCTGCTTCTAGTCGTGTCTGTATCCATTTACATCATAGTTAACTTGAAATGAGTGAAAACAGAGGTATGAATGTTTAGTTTTGGGACACAAAAACAGAGTTACAATGATTTTACTATTGTGTTATTCTAGCTACTCCAATATCCTGCAGCTGACACCTCTGGAAGTTTTACCACTGGTTGTGTTTCCGGAAATGCAAAAATGTGACAAATTTTATTTAATTAGCATTAATGTGAGTTTAGCAGAAATCGTATCAATTGAGTTTAATGATAATTCTCTATACTTATAACATTTTGGAGTCACTTCCTACTCAGAGAATACTCAAGTCCTTACTGAAACTCTTGTTCAGCTAGCTTTCAGGTATCACAAAGCCAAACGTTTTGATGAAACATCTCTTTCTGCAGAGGAAAAACAATATAGCAATGGTCTAATGCTTGAGTTGAAGTTTCAAAACAACAGATCACCAACAAGTGCTTGGCATGTCATATCTGTCCATTATTTATTTACAGTCTATGGCGTTTTCCAACTCACAAAAACTGACAGACTTCTCAATATCTGTGGATAACCAATTGTAACTGCACCCATAGTATCAGACCTTCAGGCTCATTTTTGGTAACACACTGATTAATCTTCTACTTGTCACAC